CCCCCCTCCCGCCCTGATCATGACGGTGCCAGCCTCCACATGGGCGGAAACCCCGTGAACGGCCGCCGTGAACGACCGTTCACAGAATTCGGCCCCCGTGACCTATGAATCCCCCCACGGTCATGACCGCGGGGTCAATCTCGGCCCGCAGTCGGGATCCCGACCGCCGAGTTCGGCTTCGGGCGAGGGCCGCGGTCAGAAAACCCTCACATTTTTAATTCTTAGGATCGTAGGCCAAAATAAAAACAAAAAATATGGGGTTGTAGGCTTTTTTGCGCTCTACAACCCCATATTTTTAGTTTTATTTTTTTACTTCGTTTTGGATTTTTAAAAAAAAATGAAAAACAGAAATCCCTCAGGCAAAAGTTTTTCACTTTATTCTTTTAGTAAGAACAATAAATGATTTTGTTTGTTTTTTATCTCAAATTTGGTAATGAGTTTTGATATGACCCCAAGGCAAAAGTTGTTCAGTTTATTGCTTGGCATAACATATATTGTTTTCAGATTTTTCTGAATTCTTTTTTGTTTTTTGTATTTTTTTCTTGACCGCGGGCCCAAAGTCGCAACCACAGTCCGCGGTCGTGCCCTCGGTGACCGCGGCCGCGGGGGATTCATAGCCCGTGACCAGCTGGTCACGTTCACCCGACTGGCTTTCTGGTTTTTGTCCTCTCTGGATCCCGGTTCTGGTCCCTTTTGAGAAACCGGTTCGGTCCCGGTTTGGTATGATTTGGTCGTCAGTCCCTTTCTGTCCCAATCATTAGGACCATTGAGAAGTTTTGGGTAGCATTGCCAGTATAAGTAGTTTCTTTTTACCTCGTTTCCTATCTACCAGCGCACACCCCTGATGGTGGCCGGTGTTCTGGCGGCCCGACCGAAACACGTGTAGGGTGTACCGCCAGTTTATGATTCACGTTTATGGGGCTTAGCGTCATTTGGCGCGCTGCGTCATCTTCGATGTGCTTCATTGTTTATCTTAATTGATGCGCTTGGGGGTTACTGTTTTTTTCTCTTCTTCTTCCTCTTCTTCTTCTTCTTCGTCCTTCTTCTTCATCTTCCTTCTCTTATACTCACTAAAGTGCTTGCACTTTCGCTTGTGTGTTGTTTACTTGCGACATACACGTAGAGAACCGTTGGGGATTTTTACCCCAATCGTGTGACTATGCCCTTCTCGCTACTCCTGAACTACCCAGTTTACCGTACGGCAGTTGTCGCTTCCCTTCTTTCCCTCTTCTTCTTATCCCTCAGTTTGCCCCTTTCCCTTCTGTTTATGTGTTAGAGCTGCTTTTAGGGTTGGCTGACCCAATCTCTTAGAGGACGAGTATAGTCCTCTATGTAACCGTTTGAACGCCATGAACGAGCGTTCGCGTTCAAAATTGAACGGCATTCAATTTTTTTTTATTTTTTTTTTTTTTTTTTTTTGATGCCTAAAAATAAATTGTTTTTTCCTAGGCTACCAGAGTGGCCCGGGTCCACTTGCCCGGCCGGGCCAAAAAGATATAAAAAAGTAAAGAAATATATATATATATATATATATATATATATATATATATATATATTTTTTAAATTTGGTAAAAGTTGTTCAATTTATTTTTCTGCATAACATACTTTTTTTTTCGGGTTTTTTGGATTTAGGTTTTTATGTTTTTTTTGGCTGGGACCTTCCTTGGTCGTTGCATGGCCGGGCTACCCGGGAAAATAGGGTGACCCGGGCGGCCCAACTGGTAGTC